GAAAGAAAGAATAAAGGTGAGGTCACAAGCTTCATCACCTGTCGAAACACACACACACAAGAGACCCCGATGCCTTGACCTGGGTTGACCTCGTCTCACGTAACCAACAAGGTGAAGATGGTCGCCACGGAGAGATGGAGAATGAAAAGAAGAAAAGAAGAAGAGGTCAGAGCGCAAACCAAAAATGGGGAGGGAAAGAAGAAGAGACATAGAAGATAAGGGGTAATAAAGACGGTAGTAATGTGACAGAGAAGAAGAATATACTCTCTATCTTCAGCATAAATACATACAAGAGCTTCAAAGTGAATTAAAAACAACATAATCACCTGACACATCTTCAAACCTCATAAGAAACACTAAGACATTTTTTTTCACTGATTATTAAGAAAACTAAAGCGTGGCGGACAAGACTATGAGTGGTGGTGAAAATGTAAAGCGGCGGCGGGAGGATAGTCAAGCGACCTTGGTTCTCACCCTCTGTTTACACCATCAGCTGATCCCTGTGGCGTCACACCCGTGGGAACCCGAAAAGTAAACTCGAGTTCGTGTCCAGGAGGTGGTGGTGGCGAGTACCGGGAGGTGGTGGTGGTGAGTACCGGGAGGTGGTAGTGGTGAGTACCGGGAGGTGGTGGTGGCGAGTACCGGGAGGTGGTAGTGGTGAGTACCGGGAGGAGGTGGTGGTGAGTACCGGGAGGAGGTGGTGGCGAGTACCGGGAGGTGGTAGTGGTGAGTACCGGGAGGAGGTGGTGGTGAGTACCGGGAGGTGGCGGAGTGACCGGGAGGAGGGGAGGTGGTGAGTACCGGGAGGGTGGTAGTGAGAGGAGGTGGTGGTGAGTACCGGGAGGAGGTGGTGGAGTGCCGGGAGGAGGTGGTGGTACCGAGGAGTACCGGGAGGAGGTGGTGGTAGTACCGGGAGGAGGTGAGGTGAGGCGGGAGAGAGTGGAGTGGCTCGGGAGGAGGTGGTGGTGGTGAGTGGAGGAGGTGGTGGTGAGTACGGGGGGGAGGTGGTGGTGAGTACCGGGAGGAGGTGGTGAGTACCGGGAGGAGGTGGTGGCGAGGTGGGGAGGTGGTAGTGGTGAGTACCGGGAGGAGGTGGTGGTGAGTACCGGGAGGAGGTGGTGGCGAGTACCGGGAGGAGGGGGTGGTGAGTACCGGGAGAGTATAAAGTGTACTAGGAGAAAGAAAGGAGATAGAGATACAGAGAGAGAAAACCGTGATAAACGAACACACGAAGAGAAAGAGATGAAAGAGGAGGGCAAAACTCTCAAATGGTCGACCGTGGGCGGCTAGAGAGTGTATCGGCCAAGTTTAACGAGAGTCAAAGTTGAGAAATAAAAGCAAGGAAGTGAGATGATGATGATGATGATGATGATGATGATGATGATGATGACGATAGTGATGACGATAGTGATGATAGTGATGATGATGATGACGATAGTGATGACGATGATGATAGTGATGATTATATACTTACAACACTTACAGACTAATAACCTTCGCTAACAACTACTTACACTCATACACCCAGAAGCCAGCAGGATACATTACAACACCAACAGCAACAATACATCATTACTGTTAAAAATATAATATATGAAATTTCTCTCTATCCACACCTTAATTCTCCACCTAACCTTAATGTTCAGTACCGTATGTTACTTTCAGACTCATGTAAACAAACTTCTAAGCATCTTACACTTTATTACTTACAATAGTACTTTACCGTGAGGAGATGAGAAGACGCCAGTGGTACATCTAGACACCGAACCCGCGATCCCCCCTAAGTCCCGAACCCTTGAACCCCCTAAGTCCCGAACCCCTGAACCCTCGAACCCCCGATGTGAACCCGAAGCAGTAGTCTGATTCTGTCCGTAAATGCTTCGGATTCGTGAGTCTGAATCTCGTGGTACAGGAGGAGAGGCGAATGGACTTTAGTAGTTAACTGTACATCTACATACAGTAACAAGAGTACAGACTCAAACTATAAACAAAAGGAACAAACATAAGAAAAAAAATGAAAGAAAACGAAAAAAACACCAATATAGAGAAGTGAATATTTTTATTGACATGTAAAACAGGTAACAACGACAAAAGACACAAGACAGGTGTAAAAAAACAATAATTGGGAGGAGGAGGAAAAATAAAAGTACAAATGAAATACAAGGACAAAGATCTACAGAGAGAGAGAGAGAGAGAGAGAGAGAGAGAGAGAGAGAGAGAGAGATTGATTTTTGCAACATGCATGAAAAAATATAAATGTATTACAAGATGAACTAAAATAGACCCAAGGCACACAGGTAGGAAAGAAGATATACAGAGTACACAATAAAGGGATGAATTACCTTACCTACACGGCTAAATTAATTAATCCTCCACAGGTGAGTAAAAAATCATTGTAGATATTTTGCTAAGCGTAATTAATTAAAGGTGGGTGTGCTATATTGCAGTGACGTAATAACAGTAATAGTGGTGGCGGTGATACGTGGACACATATACATTAAATACATAAAGGGGTGACTGTAGCATTAACACACAAGGGGATACAAGACACATGAGGACACAGTGCAGGTATAGCGAGGGGACAGAGACACACATACACACACATACAGAAACTACAAAACACTAACAGGAGACATAACACAAGTCACATACACATTAATACATAAACGATGAATGACAAACACAGACAGACAAGATGAAAGGAAAGAAACACACACTAAGAGACGGCAGGAAACACACAAAGTGACAGAAATAGCAATACATAGAGACTATAAAACACACAGAGAAAAACACGGTGACAGCAACACAAACACAAGGTGATAACAATAGCAACACACGCACAAATACAATGGGACAACACACACACACACACACGCACGCACACGCACACACACACACACGCACACACACACACACACACACACACACACACACACACACACACACACACACACACACACACACACACACTCAATCTGCATGGATCCCTCATAACAGTCAACTCTCGCCCTCTAGTAGTACAGTACAGTAGTTTCCACAGCACAGAATTCAGAACATTGTCGTAAGTTACAGCTGAATATCAGAAAATAACAAGGCTAATTTTTCCCCCCACAATAATTCAATTCTATTTACACCTAAAGATATAAAAATAGTCTTTATATATAGTGTTTATCCGTAATATATATATATATATATATATACCTCATCTATTTGCCTTGGCAGGAAGACGAAGCCAGACATGGGAACTGGTCGTAATACATCAAAGGTTATTTAGAAAAGGAATATTTCTGAATGAAAATCACAGTCGTCAAAGGCTACGATGGTTAATTCGGGTGTAAAGTTAGTTGTCAGGAAAAAAAATATACAGTTGACTTACTTAATATCACATATCACGATAAACGTATAGGGATAACACCTGACTGATGCACCGAAGGTCGAAGGTCTCAAGAACACACCTTGGGGGAACATCAACCTCATGTGCCACACTAAAACCCACTATCACGGGAGGCAACACAGTCAGCACCTCTCACACACACACACACACAGTATAGCCAGATAACGATTATATCCCGCGTTCGTCATTATACGTGAGTCTGAGAACCATTTAGAAGGATAATGGAGGAGGGAGCTGGACCTCGGAGGGAGGTAGAGGTACGCCCAGGCTGCTGCCTCCTCCTCGTCTGCCGGAGGTTCTCAAGAAGTTATTGGGCCTCTCGAAGCGGTCGTCATCGAATCGGTCATCCAAATCAAATCGGTCATCTAAATCAAAGCGGTCATCGTCGAATCGGTCATCTAAATCAAAGCGGTCATCGTCGAATCGGTCATCTAAATCAAAGCGGTCATCGTCGAATCGGTCATCTAAATCAAAGCGGTCATCGTCGAATCGGTCATCTAAATCAAAGCGGTCATCTAAATCAAATCGGTCATCATCAAATCGATCATCTAAATCAAAGCGGTCATCGTCGAATCGGTCATCCAAATCAAAGCGGTCATCTAAATCAAATCTGTCATCCAGATCAAATCTGTCATCGTCAAATAGGTCATCCCTGTCATCTTCCACTATGATGATGGGGCCTCTTGTACCCTGTGGCAGTCTCACACCCCCAGGTCTGTTGGCTGTCGTGCCAAACCTTCCAGCTGAAGAACCACCACTGGTGGAGGGTAGAGGAACTCCGATACTTCCGCGGGAACCTCCTGCTGAAGGAAGAGATGGAAGAGGAACTCCGATACTTCCGTGGGAACCTCCTCCTGAAGGAAGAGGAACACCGATACTTCCGCGGGAACCTCCTCCTGAAGGAAGAGGAACACCGATACTTCCGCGGGAACCTCCTCCTGAAGGAAGAGGAACACCGATACTTCCGCGGGAACCTCCTCCTGAAGGAAGAGGAACACTGATACTTCCGCGGGAACCTCCTCCTGAAGGAATAGGTGGAAGAGGAACACCGATGCTTGTCCTTCCACCTGGTGATGGAAGAAGGACGCCAAGTGTTCCTCCTCTGGTTCCTTGTTGTGAAGTGGAACTAACAGATCCTGGAATCCTCTGCGAGGCCCCGCGGCTCGTGCTACCTCCCTGGGATCCTCTGAAACTTGAAGATCCTCGAATACCTGCCCCAGAACCTGCTGTGGTGCTTTGTGTTGGTAGAGGTACTCCTACAGGTTGTCCAATTTGCAGGGTCTGCGGAGTTCGACGACCAAACGTGGTTGACCCTCTGTTGTTTGTCCTAGTTGTGGCAGGTCTTGTGGTTGGTGCGGCTGGAACCACTGGCTGACCGACTCCAACGCCCTGAGCCCTCCTACCAGCACCTTGAGACGCACGGCTGGGGGCAGGAGTCTGTGGTTGTTTTGTAGTGATAACCGCGCCCTGGCTAGTTTGGAATCTGTGGCTACCACCGGATGTTGTTTGGAATCTGTTCTGATTAGACACACTCTGAGTGGCCCTGTTTCCTCCAGCCGATGGGAGGGGAACACCAAAAGTGGTCTGTCTCGCATCAGCCACATTATCAGGGGTTTGGGAGCTCTGGATGCCACTCAGCAGCAGATTTACACCGTCTGCGGGGGCCCTGCTGGAGGCCGGGAGTGGTACACCAACACCAGTGGAAGGACGAAATGGACGGCGTGACACTGTTACTCTTGACGGCGTCCTTGTAGTTGTTGGGGTTCTCGGAGATGTGGGGGTTCTTGAAAATGTAGGTGCTGTTGAAAGTGTGGGGGTTCTTGAAGGTGTGGGGGTTCTTGAAAATGTAGGTGCTGTTGAAGGTGTGGGGTTCTTGTGGGGTTCTTGGGGTGTGGGGGTTCTTGAAGGTGTGGGGTTCTTGAAAATGTAGGTGCTGTTGAAGGTGTGGGGGTTCTTGAAGGTGTGGGGTTCTTCGGGGTGTGGGGGTTCTTGAAGGTGTGCGGGTTCTTGAAGGTGTGGGGGTTCTTGAAGGTGTGGGGGTTCTTGGTGGTGTAGGGGATCTCAGAGGCGCAGAAGTTCCCGCGGGTGTTTGGGTGGGTCTAAATGTTGAAGGTAGTTGGTTAATAGAGAAATGCGCAGGAGGCCTGGGGGTGGGAGATGGCCTCACCTCACTGCCAACGGACCCTTGTGCACCTCTGAATTGTTGTGACCCGCCACTGAAGCTGCTCTGCCCTGAGACTCTTGATCCGGGAGCTACGAGACCTGAGGCTGCAGAAGAAGTCGTAATGGGAGGGCCTTGAGGTCTTGCCTGAGAAGCTGGTGCGTTAGATGACGTCTGACCCGATACACTTCGGAAGCTTGACCCTCTAGAGCCGCCGCCATGCGAGGACTGCGAGGATGTGGCAGGCACCTTGCCGATCTCCGCGTTCACGCCGAAGTGTTGAGAGGAAGTCTGACAGTCAACATTGTACCACCAGTCACAGACAAGCTGCTGCTGCTGGAAGATGGTGCCGTTGGGGCAAAGGAAGCTGTCCATGCGGCCATCGGCGTGACACACGTGGAACACCTGAGGAGACACGGGTTTGGCATGAAGCTTAAGTCTCAGTGAACCCATCACCATCTTTATCATCCATTTTGTATCACTGACGCTAACAACTGCTTCACTGAATCATTTACATTGTCCTACACTCATAACTTTTAAACTGTAATACCATCTCAAAATATATTGTACTAAACTCAGGATCTGCTACACTGTACTGTACTGAATGTTAATTATTACAACCGATAATGAATACAAAGTTGTTTTGAAGTTTATGATGAGACAGTGGTGATGACAGGATAGATACTTCGAAATAGGTCTGGTTTGAGGGAGTGACAACACACACACTACACACCTGGCAGGCGGTGTCGATGTCGGCATAGTAGCCGTGTTGCCTGTTGGCACAGTCGAAGATGGTTTCTGGGACGGAGTTGAGAACAGGGAAGTCGTGCCCTGGGGTGCCTCCGGCCACGAGGGACACCCCCAGCAGCGCCCGCGTGGATCGAGTCCGAGCGATCCTGATAGCGCCATCCACCACCAGGTCATCCAGGGCGTCCCTCACCACCCGCTTCAAGCCTCCTGCGCTCTCCTCCACATCAATGGAGGAGGAAAAGAAGTCCAGCCCTTCGTCAGAAAGGTCCTGGATGGTATTCTGCCCGGCTAGCGCCACCGCCACAACCTCTACAGTAGCCAAGGGAAACAGAAGCAACCTTAAGACATCACCTCATACAGACACCGAAAATTCCACAGACACACGTGGATACATTAAACAGACAGACAGAGAGACAGACAAACAGACAGACACACACACACACTGCCTAGGGAGGACGACAACTCTGACGCTCCTGTACGACAACACAAGACACACCCGGTGATATACTGTACATACAGGTAAAATGTGCCACGACAGGCCTCTCCTATGTCAGTACCACGACCACCTCAGTGATGCCAAGAAAGAGTCAGTGGCGAAGAAAGATCTATCACACACACACACACACACACACACACACACACACACACACACACACACACTGCTCATGAACTGTTGTGTTGTATTACTTTCAGCTTTAATACATTTTGAAACTACTGAACTGTTCTCTGTGTTTTTGGCCATTAAATAAACAAAATCTTTAACAACTTACATTCACGTCATTACTACTGAGTTAACTTTGATCACACCATAAGCTTATAAGAACCACATGAACATTAACCCCCCCCCAGCTTAGTTTATCTGAATATTAACCAACTATCTACAAGCATTGGTAGATAAGGCTGACAATAAAGTGAAATAAAGTATGAAAATGATCCCTAAGGCTTGATGAAGAAAGAACCATTTTAGAGAGAGAGAGAGAGAGAGAGAGAGAGAGAGAGAGAGAGAGAGAGAGAGAGAGAGAGAGAGAGAGAATAACTTTACCTTCACCAACATAAGTTAACTTTCAAGTCTATTTACAGAGTTTTTAAAAGCAAAAGTACACAGGTAAGTTACTGATAATTTTCTCAAATTTTTTTCGTGTGTGACTTTAAATAACTTGCCTATTTACAATTCATTTACACCATCAACTTGTCAATTTACTGTCCCATTTACAGCATCAAGTAGTCAATTTACAATCCTATTCACATTATCACATTACGGTAGTCAATTTACAATCCAATTTACAGTTATTTTACGATTCAACTTGACAATTTACAATTCTCTATTCACCATCAACTTGTCAACCTTATTTACACTCAATTTACAATCCTCTATTCAATTTCAACTCAAAATAGACTTGTCACAATTGTTACATCAATAATAAGGATTGGATTTAATTTTCCTTCTTGTGTTTATTCACCGAGTCTTAGTAAACACTGTCTTACAACACGTTAATGACTGTTTTGTCCGGCAGATGAATGTTTTGTCCGGCTGATGAATGTTTTGTCCGGCAGATGAATGTTTTGTCCGGCAGATGAATGTTTTGTCCGGCAGATGAATGTTTTGTCCGGCTGATGAATGTTTTGTCCGGCTGATGAATGTTTTGTCCAGTTGAGGAATGTTTTGTCTGGGAGATGAATGTTTCGTCCATATGAATGTTTTGTCCGATAGACGGCTATTTTGTCGAGCGGAGGAATTTTTGTCCAGCAGATGAATGTTTTGTCCGGCTGATGACTGTTTTGTCCCGCTGATGAATGTTTTGTCCGGCAGATGAATGTTTGTCGCACAATTACACACCACATGAATAAGGGTATGAACGTATCTTTTATACACATATACATACATACAAATAATGTGTATGTTGTATGACTATATGTATGTATAACTGTATATATATATACATGTCTAGTTTCATGATGTAAGGGCGACACAATACCCTCCTGCAACTGAACATTACTCAACATTGTCAAGTCGTGCGGGTCATTCACTGAAGATCCACACACACACACACACACCCACACACAGAGTAGTAATCCTCATGTGACGTCACGGGGTCCCTCACCTAGCAGGAACACTAGTGCTCTACAGCCACTCCTCCAGCGTGAGCCTCTCATCTTGGGGAGAAGACTTCTATCTCTTAGTCTTATCCTCTGCACGAGTCTCGGCGTCGACTGTGGCACTATGAAACGGAAAGTGAGGTAAGGAAGGGATGGACTGACTTGTAGAAGATACACTCTTACTTTTATATAGGCGGAGTTCCCGAAGGTGAGGGGAGGAGTTGCCAAGTGTCGGCAGGTGTCGTCACTTCGCCGCCGTCTCCTTGATACTTCCCGTCGTGTATTGTGCTATTGTCTTGACTCATACTCTCGGAAAGGTCGCTCCTCTTTCCTATGTACCGTTTTGGATAGGTAAGGAAATAAATTAAGGTGACAGTGTCCTCAATTTCGACCTCATCTCCTGGCAGTGTCGCGTCCCAGGTGGAGGAATTATCGTGCGCGGGTTGCACACCTCCCCTGACACTGGGAGTCCGCACGAAGTCTTTGGCAATCGTGCGCCCGGGTTTCAGGGTACTCTTTCTCATCCACGCCGACAATGTGCTCAGATAACTAATACACTCTAAACATCCTCTCTGATTATTATCGTCATTTTCCAGTTTTGTCATTGGTTAACCTTTCAGAGATGTCGTCGAGGGGGTGAGAGGAGTATAGGAAGCCAAGATGGATGCGGGAGTCGTGATATACCGCTGGAATTTTTAACCCGTGACAGTCTCATCCATTCACCTACCCTCCTTGCTCCGTCTGCCTCATGGGAACGCTAGTTTTTGTGCTCCCCTGCAAGGTTTTCAGCTCTCCCAGTCCTGTTGAAAAAGCTCCTAGCAGGACGGTGGGAGATGAGGCGTTCGGGGTCAGGTCTTCTCTGGCTCTAATTTTCCACGCATTCCTTATCACACTAGGCAGTTCGCATGAGATCTTCCATAGTGTAAAAACATACGAAACAGACACACATTCAGACTAATATCAATTAAATCAGATTATTAATAGAGCTTTAAAGGCGTGACGAATTAGCCACGATAAATTGAAGAAGAGAGAGTAAATAAAAATAATTACTCGTCAACATGCGGTGCGCGGGGTCGTGAGTGGCGGTGCGGATGAGGCGGGAAGAAGGGAGACGGGGGTGGGGGGTTGGGGGGGGTCATGTGCCAGGGGTTACTATGTGACATGATTACGGCAGGGTGTGGTAGACGGCGGGTGTGGCTAATACCTGTCAGCTGAGGGTGGGCACGTCTCTCCCCGCTCCGACATGGCAATAAACTCGTCATTTCTCGCCGCGGGAAGACTACGAGAGGATTGAGGCCGGGAGAAGATGTCATATGTTATCCTCCCGTTGGCTCCTTCAACACTATATATCACTCTGTATGGCTTTAAAACAATACATTACAACACATATGAATGGACAGTACGTATCATTGCAACACGCTTCTTTGTTATACATTCATTCTCAACCGCTGAGTGTGTGTGTGTGTGTGTGTGTGTGTGTGTGAGTGTGTGAGTGTGTGTGTGTGTGTGTGTGTGTTGGGATGAGGTCACTTACTGAGTGCGTGGTGGAGGTCGAAGAAGACTCACAGTACCATGAGACCCGAACCTCAGTACTATGACCCAACCCTAGTACCCATGACCCGAACCTCAGTACTCCATGACCCGAACCTCAGTACCAGACCTGAACCTCAGTACCCATGACCCGAACTCTCAGTACCCATGACCCTGAACCTCAGTACCCATGACCTGAACCTCAGTATCTATGACCTGAACTCAGTACCATGACCTGAACCTCAGTAACACCCATGAGATCCGAACCTCAGTACCCATGACCCGAACCTCAGTACCCATGAGACCGAACCTCAGTACCCATGACCCGAACCTCAGTACCCATGACCCGAACCTCAGTACCCATGACCCGAACCTCAGTACCCATGACCCGAACCTCAGTACCCATGACCTGGAACTCAGTATACATGACCTGGAGGGGATAAGAAAGAGCAAAAGTAGTTCCAACAATCTCAAGTGCGTCTTCGGTCTGTCTCACCTCTCATCTCTGTGTGCCGTAGTGTGAGTGAGTTAAACTGGATGTATTCTCACTTCCTTCGTCGGGGAGGAAATTAATCAATACTATGAATCTTTGAGGTTTTGAAGGGTGGGTGGGTTGGTAGGTGGGTGGGTGGGTTGGTGGGTGGGTGGGTGAGTGGGGGAAGTCTCCAAGGGCGCCACAACCCTTCTCTCCCTCACTCCATTTTCTATACCCTGGGAAATTCAATCTATCTGAGTCGTGTTGTCTTATTGTAGTCGTGAAACGGACCAGAGACAGAAGGGTGGAAAGAGATTGGACGGAGACGGATGGACGGAAGGAGGTTAGACGGAAATGACTGGACGGGGACAGAAGAGTGGAAAAGGGCTATAGTACACATATGCCAGGGCGGAAAAAAGATTAGACGGAGAAGGAAGGACGGAAGGAAGTTAGACGGAGACTGTAGGATGGAGGGAGGTTTGGACGGAGTTGACAGGACGGAAGGAAACTAAACAGACAGAAAAATATAAAGACAGGAGATAGGACAGACGGAAAGACAGACAAACAAAAAAGAAAGATGACATGAAAACAGAGAAAAGGGGAGGTAAAAAATTAGACAGAACATAAATACCAACAGACAGTCTGACAAAAAGGGACGGAAAAACTTAACAGACATTTACACACCCCAACCAGACCCTTGACACTAACCTAACCCAACCAGACCCTTGACACTAACCTAACCCAACCAGACCCTTGACACTAACCTAACCCAACCAGACCCTTGACACTAACCTAACCTAACCTAACCTAACCTAACCTAACCTAACCCAACCAGACCCTTGACACTAACCTAACCTAACCTAACCTAACCTAACCTAACCTAACCCAACCAGACCCTTGACACTAACCTAACCTAACCTAACCTCAATATTATACGCAGTACGAGAAAAAATATTGACTTTGAAATTACTACCGACGGACATTGACAATATTTAAGAATCTGTAGCGTTGAAATGGTGAGGGTAGAGTGCTTGCTTGCTTGCTTGCTTGCTTGCTTGCTTCTCACCACTGCGTCTCGAGTAGTACAAATAATCCCTGGGTCTGATGTGAGATGGATGGATGAAAGTGAAAAAAAAGGAAAGACTGTAAATTAAAAAATAATTGAATGAATGACTTATACCATGCATTCCAGAATACCCCCTCCCCCCCTTGCCAAACATTCCTCGGCGGGGTACAGTATATATAATGACGTGAGACAGACATACAAACATGATAATCAAAACAGGTTCTCTCAGATCAAACAGGGCGCCAGAGAAGTAGACGACAAACAGTGGATCCAAGACGGCAGTTGTCTCTTGTACAAACATGACGTCACTGGCGAAGGTAAAGGGAGGGAAGGGCATCAGTGACGTCACAAGAGGTAGAGATCAGTGGTAATTATAGCAGTCTCCTCCCCCTCCTCCAGGTGAAATAGGCTGAGATACATACCGTACATAATTATAGGTCATCACCATAAGTACATACATACCTACAGTATAATACATACATAATTAAAATAATAATAATAATGGTTGCCCCTCGTGTAACGAGGATGACCGGCCCAAGGGCCACCTAGGCGTGAATTTGTTTAAGATGTAGAAGCTGAGTTAACGAGCTGCATGAACCAGTGTCAAGGAATAGTCCGAGAAGACCGGACAACTCGCCAACTGCACTGGCTAACCATTACCCCGAAATGCGGTCCGCAAATCGATTAATGTCCATTTGCCTCTGTCTGGGTAGACACCGTGTCTACCCAGACAGAGGCAAATGGCGTAAAGAAACTTGCCCTTAAGTTTCATCCTGCCTGGGGATCGAAACCGGGTCCACTCGCTTGCAAGGCTAGCATGCTGACCATTACACCCCAGGTCGCCATACACAACTACAGGCATACATAGATACGCAGTGAAACCGAACAAATCACTGAGGCTTCCTTTCTACCTGAATAAGTCGTTATTACATATATAAGAGAGAGAGTATATATATATATATATATATATATATATATATATATATATATATATATATATATAATAAAGGTAAAACTGGGAGAAGCCCCTATTCCATCTGGCCACCAAGACAAACAGCACCAAGGTCAACATGTAGTCAAATAGATAACAGGTAAGGATAGGTGCTAAGGCGATACAGGTACATGACGCAGGTGTGTTAATCATGCCCTCACCAGGCCTGTGTGTGTGTGTGTGTGTGTGTGTGTGTGTGTGTGTGACTTTGATAGTGTTTTTTTTTAAATAACAGTAACCCCTTAAATATTGAGAGAGAGAGAGAGAAAGAGAGAGAGAGAGAGAGAGAGAGAGAGAGAGAGAGAGAGAGAGAGAGAGAGAGAGAGAGAGAGAGAGAGAGAGAGAGAGAGAGAGATTCATGACTTACAATTATTCATTATTTTTTTCACTAATGATACATTTTAGTCTTTGAATCAACTCCTATTTCACGTGATGACAAAATGATAGCTAATTAATTTTTATTTACCTGGATGAAAGTGAAGGTGATTAACTGTTTCAGGGTCACAAACTGGAGAAAAAACAGCGAGAGGAATCCACTCCTCCTACGACCTTAACCAATGGGGGACTGTGAGACAAGTGAAATAAGTCCGAGTCACTAGTGTGTGTTATTGAGGCGGTGAAATAATACTCAATAACAACACCACCGTCTCCTCTCGTCCTCCCACAAAACAATATCGCCATTAAGAAATAACACAAAAAACTAGAATACCCAAGAAGAAGAAGACGCATCACTCACCCGTGGCATTTGACCCAAAAACATCGTCTCCTCCAGGAGTGACAACCCAATCTGAGGAGGTCATAAGAGCGAAAACTGGATCACCGAGACACGTGAGGGCCGTCCCAAAAGGCTCCGACACGCAGGGGAGCCATGGCGGCCAGGCGACCTTGGAACACATACGCATCACGTTAGTGGGGGGCTGGAACCCGCAATTAGCCCCGGGAACGCCCTCCAGCTGGCCGCTAGACCCTCTTTTGTTCCGTCGCGGCTCGTGCCCGGAATTTGTAAGTCTGTGTACCGTGTTTATACCATAAACAAGGAGCTGTACATTTTGTGGACGGTAAATTCACCAAGATTTACTTTCCTTC